TCTTGTTCTTTGTCATCTGTTGTACTCACCCACATAGCACTATCATTTTGTGCCCAGTTGCCACCAGCATTAAACCCATCTACTGTACACATTGTGCCACAAAACAGAAATTGCATTGTGTACCTGTCACCAGTGCTCACATTTTCCTGCACACAAAGAAATGACTGTCTGTTCCTTTATTTTTCCACCTGAACCTCCTCTTCTTTAATTCTTTGCAGAGAGTAAACTGCAAGTGCAAAAGACCAACCAGTCTCAGGTGTACTTAGAGGACAGTCGTGTCAGGATCAATTGCTCCGTCACCTCCCAGACCAGCCAGGACTCCCAGCATGCTGTGCTATGGTACGTGAGGCGAGCGGCGGGGTCAGAAGCTGATGAGCTCCTGTTGAGAATTGAGCGCTCAGGGGCCTTTGAGTACGGCGCCTACGCGGATGAAGAGAGACTGCGACGTCGTGTGCAGGCTGAGCGGTTGTCACCCCGTCTGTATGTGCTGACGCTGAACAGGGCGGAGAGCAGTGATTCTGGGACGTACTACTGCCTGGTGGAGGAGTGGCTGAGTGACCCAGATGGAGCCTGGTATCGACTCTCCCGGGAGTCTTCAGGGTTCACACAAGTTCTGGTCCGGCGGCCAGGTGAGTGCTCTTTATAAAAATAAAAAAATAAAAACAACAAAAATCTTATTTTTCCCCCACTGGACCAGCAGATGCCACCTTAGCCCCACAGACTGTCCTGCTTTAGACAAGTTAAACATTGTTGAGTCAGTCCCTCCTCCAGATCACTTTCTCCGCACCTACACAATGCTATGCCTAAGGCCTCAAGGCTGTCTCGCTCCAATGACTTTACACCTGCCTTGGGCAGAGCTCAGGTGGCAAAAAAATTGGTTAAAGTCATGCCGGCTGTCACATGCCAGGCTAGAAGGCAAAGCATTGCTCATACAGAGAATCTAATGCTCATGTTCACTACTCCAAAACCTCAAAGGGCCCAAAGCCATAATGTCACTGCCACATAGACTTGACATCCCATCTTATAACTGTTATCTCCAGTACATTCCACCTCGTATCTTGTTGCCTCACTGACTGAATTTTCCCTGACTCTATTACCACAGCCTTCCTGCCATACCTCTACAATAAATCTCCTTGCCCCCAAATGCAAATAAATAACAACAACCCATCCATCTTCAACTTTCCCATTTTTTTTGTATGACTCTTTTACACACACCAGCTGAAGGTGACCTTTCTCATCACAGAGAACAGTGTTCTTCTGCCAGGTGTCCTATTAATAATGCAGAATGAATTCTTTGATATGGCATCTGTCCAACTAGAACGCGAGGATCAAAACGTCTGGTCACAAACCCGCAGGGCAAGGAAAATGCCTGTATTTTATGTAGATGGTGAAGTTGACACTCCCACAATTAATAAAGCTACAGCACACATACATATGCTGTGACATGCTTATGTGATGTGACCTTAGTGTATATTAGGCCTGTTTGTATTAAGCATTGGTTCTTCTTAGTCTGTGATTTTGTTTCACCTTTCATTCAAAAAGTTAATACATGGTTGTTTATGGAGCTCAACAGGAACCCGGGTTATTATTATGAAATCAGAGAGGTAATGTATATTATGCAAACCACTTAGACTTTCAATTTGATTTGTTAATATGCTCATAAAACAAGTAAAATATGCTGTATAAATACTATGCATATTTTTTAGGGTGCTAAAGTCGACCAGAAATCTGTCTGCCAAGAGGAAAAATGAGGGGGCATGTGTGCCAAAACTTGCCTTTTTCTGCTCTCCTGCTGTCCTTTCTGCTTCTTGTTTTGATTTAACAAGAGGACTGTTGAAACTGTGTGTGTGTGAGAAGCCCAAGCAAGCCAGGCCTTTACTGCAGTTTTTTAACTGCATTGGAAATGGGTCATTGTACCACCCCTGAAGGGCTGTAGCTGCCATACAAATAGACACACTAGCCTCGGGGTAGGATGTAACCATGCTGAAAAGCTGAAAAGGCTGGTGATAGCCATGGGCAGCTGTGAGATTTATTTATTTTTGTCTTCTGTTTGCACAGTTTGAAAGTTGTGTCCCTCTGTGGTGGTATTTAAAGTTCATTAGGGCTGCACCTACAGTAACAGTTATTTGGGGTTTGTTTCCTCTGCTGATTATTTCCTGATGATCTGTCTACAGAATGTCAGAAAAGTGTGAAAAATGCCCTCCACAGGTTCCCAGCAGTCAGGTTGGCACTTGCTTGAGTCACACCAACAGTCTAAAACACATAATATTTAGTCTACTGTCATAAGAGAAAGAAAAATTAGATAGCCTCACATTTGTGAATAGGAAACGAGCAAACATTTGAGAGGTTTCCTTAAAAAAATGACAAATGATATATTAGTTGTCAAATCAATTTTTGATTAACTTATTGACCAATTGTTTCAGTTGCAGTTCAAATCCATGATTAAATAGCAACTGCTAATGTTACTTTGAGTGACTTTGTGACTTGTGCTCTGATGCTGGACTCCATGAAATGTATTTCAGTACTTATTCACTTTTTCTGCCACCATCTTTTTCTCTTTCTTATCTTCTTGGGCCTCTGCAGAGGTTCGACTGCAGGTAGAGAAGATGGAGTCAAATGTGACGGTGGAAGAGTCCAGTTCAATCCGACTGGGCTGTAGCATTCCTTCCCAGTCATCCCGAGACTCGCGCTTCTCCGTGTCCTGGTATGTGGACCGCTCTGAAGACGAGGATAACGATGACCAGCCAAGTGAGGAAGAAGGAGAGCGGGAGTGTGTGTTCTCCATTGGCCATGATGCCGTTTTCGGAAATGGAAACTGCAGCCCCAGAGAGGAGGTGGGCCCAAACTCCCGCCTACAGTTTCAGAGGATGACCTCTGACCTGTATACCCTGACCATCCAAGGAGCTCGACCAACAGACACAGGTCGATACTACTGCCATGTAGAGGAGTGGCTACTCAACCCCCGCAATGCATGGTACCACCTGGCCAGCAACAACTCTGGGTTCACTACCGTCAATGTACTGCAACAAGGTGGGTCCTTAATTATCTCAGTTCTTTGAGCTTCTCTGGATGTGGGAGATAATTAACTGGGATCAATGGCTGTGATCTAATATTATGCCAGCAATTTAAGACTATAGGCTCATCAGGTACCAGAATAAAGATGTAATTACCTGCTGTTCCTTTTTTGATGTTTTGCCTCACACGCTATTCTGTCATACTGCTCAATCCTAATATGTTCTCTTTGTTACAATACATGGAGTATTAATAGTCCATTTAAGGTCTGGCCTCCCCAGTCACAACATTTATTTTACCAATTAAAACGGAACCAGAGATGGCTACACACTGTTTAGCAATAACGCAGAGTGATTAATGCTGTCAAAAGATGTGTTGGGATCTAAAGAATTCGAATAGATTAATTCACCAATATCAGCAACTAAATAAAGATTATACATAGCTGTACAAAATCCATTCTACATGCTGAAAGAGTTATGAAATCAAGAATTTAACCAAAAAGTCAATTTCATTCTGTTAACAATTTCTAGCAAATATTTTCTTCACAACCTCACTAAGGATGGCCAGTCTAAAAACTTTATCCAAGAAAAACTTATTGGTTTATTCTCTGTCAACAGTGTCCAGTCTCCAGTCAGTGGTGTGCTCCAACGCCGCCCTCTTCTACTTTGTCTTCTTTTACCCATTCCCCATCTTCGGCATCCTGCTCATTGCTATGCTGCTAGTGCGCTACAAGAGCCGCAACAGCAGCAAGAGCCAAGAAGGCAAGAATGGCGCCCCCCTGCTGTGGATTAAAGAACCTCACCTCAGCTATTCTCCCACCTGTTTGGACCCACCTGCGCTCAGCCTGCATCCTGGCTCGGTTGACTAAGCCAGAGTCTTCCCCTTCTGTCGCGCACACACCGCAGATGCAGCCAACACAATGCCAGGGAGCAGATCTGGACTCTACCTTCAGACGTAACTGTTGTTCACTGCTCTGTTGAATTAGTCAATCAGTTGATCAGTTTTAAAAAATTGTACCCTGGTGGCTGCCTATTTTATGTTGACAACTGTGTGTGTTTGGGTGTGTGTGTGGATGCGAACGTTTGCCATGTTAGCACGATTAATTGTGCGAGTGCAAATTGAAGGGCAAGAGAGTATTGTTAGCTGCTCACATTTTTGGTTTGTGTGAAACTTAATCTCATAGCTGCATTTTGATTTTTATTACTCTGAATATTTGTCTATTTTTCAAAAGTGAAAAAAAACTGCGCGTATGAGATCAATGGCCAATCCGGGAAGAACATTTAAGAGAAGGAACTTTTATAATCGGCTCCGGCACAGAGGGGATGCCAAAAAAAGTCTCCGCACTGATCCAAGAGCAGCCGTAGCCTGGCCCACTATGTAGGTTGCCATAGCGATGCTCTGTGCCCATTGACTCCGTAGCCGATGACTTGGTTTCCAGCCTGTGTAGAGACAAAGGCAAGGACACACAAGCCTATGTTCTAAGTGAGGATGTGTGTATGTGTGTTGGCCCACCTGCTTTCACAATGAATTTGCCTTGGCAAACAGAAACAGGCCCTGGTGCACCACTTAAACACTGCCAGACACTCTGGCCTTAGTGAGAGACTGCTCTGCTCTTCCCTTCAGTCCTCCTCCTCTCCAAAAAGAGACAGCGAGAGAACGAGAGGGAGGGAGGTCGAAAATAATACCGAATAGATGAACAGCTCTCTCCTGCTGAGGATATACATACTTTACCACAGGGGATTTTTTTTTCCAGTGCCAAGTCCTCCTTGTTTCCACACTGTCTTCTGTAGCCAATGTTTGAAGATTTTAAGACTGTGAGGAAAGCTGATCGGTTCTGAAGCAGATTGTAAATATGTCTGCTTACCTCCTGCTGTGGGTTTACGGGCTTTGTGGGCAAAAGGGCAATTTTTACACTCATGTTGAATCAGTTGAATTGCCCTTCTCAAATTACACAGTAGAAGCCTACTGACTGGAGTTGAATCCTTGCACATTTCTTTAGGTTCCAGGATGACCACTCTGTCATCTCTTTAAGATATCAGTAACTCAAAAAAGTTATTACATATTAGTTACAAAAAAAGACTTGACTTGTTAAGGGCCACATTGATGATTACTAATGTGTAGATGTGTGAGGACACACTTTAAAAATGTAATCCACACATTATTTAAAAAAATTTTTTGGGTGGAGGCAAAAAAAATGTACTTTTGTTTTAAAGATTTTTCTATTTATTGTTTTATACTACTTTGCATAGCTTTGTATGGTTTCCTTTTTGCTTTGAAATTCTCTAAAACTGTGCAGCTTGTGTTGCCAAGCAACTGCACCAAGCAGATTATGTCAATAGCCTTGTGTGTTGGCAGCGTGGTAGATGTAGAAATGCTAGATTTGTCCTGCGCATTGCAGTCTGTAGCATTTCATACCAGAGTGTCAAGTTTGGTCAGTGTCAAAACACTGTATATCTATACTTATAATGAAATTTAATGTGGCTTTAAATGTACAGTAGGTGAACAGACAAGTCACAAAAATGGATTCACTTAATGCTTTTTTTTTTTTTGCTTGAGTCACGTTTATTTAGTGAAATGTGATGTAACACCTAGGTTGGATGTTTGATCACAGACAGCTGAAACTGAACTGCTAAAACGCCTTCTAATCATGGATTCTAGCTGAAGGCATCCTCCTCGGTTTGCCTGACACGAGGCACATGGGTTGAAAATCTGTGTCACCTTCCTTGGAATGCAACAGCCAGGAGAGGTGCGAAATATTTTACCCGATCTGGGCCCAACAGTTTCACTGCCAGACTGGATATGAACACTCTTGAAAACTTGTATCAATTGTGTCAACATGTATATTGCATGACAATATTGAAGGAGGAATTTTGATGTTTTGTAATCTTTGAACTCTGAGCATTGTGTTTGTGTGACAGAGCAGTGCCCAAACTTCCTGAGTCAACACAAAGCCCGCCCCCTCATCATTTACATTATCTGACTGCCAATGATGCCCTATGAACCTGTGAAGTAATTCGTTTTAAGAATGGGTGTTGTGAAGATTGTTTGATATTATTGCTCATATTTGTCTTTTTAATGCTTTGCTGTTATCCGGCACTTCATTAAATTGATTTATGTCAAAAAAAACAAAACAAAAAAAAAAGTATGTTATGTAGAAATTACTGACACAAGCTGCTGAGTTCTGATGAAGAAGAGCTGGCGCTGTTTAGTCAGAAATGTGATGCATGTGCAGTGAGTTCAGCTACAACTAAACTGATCGGTGTTTTCAAAGAAAAAGCACACCAATTAGCTGCTTGTCTACTCATTAATGTGTTACACATGTTTTCAAAAAGGAGATTGATGTGGATAAGCAATTTTTAGCAAAGAATTTGGTTTATGTGCACACTCAATCTCAGTACAGTGTACCTACTGTATATACACACGTGGACAAAATTGTTGGTGCCTTTCCGTTGAAGAAAGAGAAACTCACAATGGTCACTGAAATAACAAATTACAAAAGGAGTGGGCCAAAATACCCATCGGCAGGTGCAGAAGTCTCATTGAGAGTTACAGAACTCACTTGATTGCAGTGACTGCCTCAAAAGGTTGTGCAACAAAATATTAAGTTAAGGGTACCATCATTTTGGTCCAGACCAGTTTCATTAGATTGTTTTTTAAAATGCTTCTGTTGAACCACAATTCAAAAGCAATGTCTGCTTTTCATTAGTTAATTTTCAGTAAATTTTTATTTAGGATTACTTTTGTCAGTTTCACGGTATTTTGGTGACCATTGTGAGTTTCTCGTCCTTTAACGGAAGGGTACCAACAATTTTGTCCACGTGTGTAAGAGCTGTGTTTCCACTGTCGGAACCAAACGAGCAGTATATCTTATACTTCTGTCCGCATAACCTTCCGGGTTGACGTGGAACATCCTGCTTTGTTTTTCCACTGTATTTTCTCTGTGTCAGTCAGGAAAAAAGGGCTGCTCTCCTCTCACACACACAGCAGAGGGAGAACAGACGATCTGAAGGATTGCTCCGTAGTGTCACAATCAGCCACTAGGGGAGACTGTCTGAGTATTTGATCAAATATTGTAGCTGTTGAGCAAGTAAAGCACAGACTTGCAGAAATGCTAATGACTGAGGTATGAAAAGCTGGCATTTAACCAATCACAGGCGACTGCTCTGTATGCACGCATGCACGCACCCCCTACCCCCTCGCGTTACTGGAACTTGATTTTAGTACTACCTCCTGATGGGTGCTGAAATTTAGCTCCAGAACACCACCTCTACAGTGGGCGTGCAGTAGCACCTGTAGCCAGCATTACTCAACTTGGTAGTTTGCTATAATGGAAAACCCCCTAAGGCGTCTGACAAAAGCAGCATACAGTGAAAAAAATAGTCTACACACTGAATATTGCAAGCTCCCAAGTAGTTAATGAGGCAGCGTTTTGACAAGCACACCTACAATTAAGAGAATACATGATGCAAAAAACTCAATAAGTGAACACATTTTCCAATATATGCTGTACCTGAAACTGTCTAATAGCCTAACTACTGTATTTATATACATTTTCATACTCTATAATAATAAAGTCAATTTTGGCAAATGCACAAAAATTGAAATATGCACAGCACCGTGACTGTGCATGAGAAATATTTGTAAATAGTTTCTTGCATCATGTGATCTAATTATCCTCCTAGTTTTCTGTGTATATACAGTATATACCCTATTTTTCTTTCACATGGTCTTTGCCTAACAAAAACTTTGGTGGTTGAAATTTTGCTTCATTAAATTACAATATTCACTGTGTGAACTACCTCTATTTTTCAGTCATAAATGGTCTTTAGCCTCACATTGCTATTTGATATCCAAACAGCAGGAAAGTCATTCTGTACATTTCAGGCCCCAGTATCACCAGGAATAACCGATGGAGCTGTTAGAAAAAAAGTCTACTGTAATTTGACAGTAATGGTTGCATATCTTATCAACTTGCATTTACATTGGAAGTAAATGCTAGCAGGAATCTCACTTCAGTTTTTCCAAAAGTAAAAAACACTAGGAGCTTGCTTGTTTGTTTGCTGAATGATTTGCCTTTTATAACTCTTGAACAGTCCCAGAGACACAGGTTGGGTAAGTGGTGCCACTGAACAGCTGCTTCAGCTTCAGTGTGTAAACCCCTGAAATCATTCCAAATTCAACTCATTTAATCTTTCTAGACTTGAGCCAGGAAGTGGAGGGCATGGTTGTGGTGTCTGATGTCACAGCACTGCCGCATCATTGGAGCTGTACAGTCAAACTCTGAATGGTGTTTTTTATGTAGTAAGAATATTAACGCCATCCATAGCTGCCTCCCAAGATTCCTCCAGACATTCTGACAGTGTTGTAGCTGCGTTTTGAGGACTGCATGTATTGGCTGTATACTGGCTCCAAATTTAGGTGTAAAATAGTTTGTGGTGATGTTTTCAGTTCAGCCAGTGATGCTTTATTTTTAGTGATGTATTTTTATATGATTATGGTTTGTTCGATTTTCTTTGTTACTCTATAGAATAGCTGCCATCGTGACTATTAAAAAGGCACTTTGCTATTGTCAATTTATTGCAATAAAATACATTCAGTGCATCTTCCTGTTATCCTTTCAAGTGTTTGGAAATGGGTTATTGATACAATGTATTGATTAGTTTTCACACAATAACATGTTATTCTAATTCCCAGCCATCTGTTGTATTAGGGCTGAACAATTTGGGAAAATAATCAAATTAGTTAGCCTATAGCCAAACTAGTTATTTGGCTATAGGCTAGAGAAGAATTAGAATTCAAACTGGACAATACAGCAGTAAATCATACAGAAAAAGTATACTTTCTTCCTTCATTCATAAAATTCCTCAGATTTGAGCTAATCACATATTTTGAGTAGTGTATAATGAAACCAGAGCAGCAAATGAAGCAATACTGTGAATCACTCTGCTAAATAAACCCAGACCTCTGACTTCCTATGCTCTAGGCTAAAACTTCACTGGTTCACTGGTGTTTGTACTGGGCTCACTGGGAGCTGTGGTCCTGAATCTGCTCTCTGCACAGTTATTGCTGCTAGATGCACTGAATTATTTGAAGCATTTAATAAGTAAGTTCTTTTTTTCTGCCAAATCTTCATGTAAAGTGAGTTAACAACAGTTACTGCTGCAGCCTCAGTGTTTAATGATATAACGGTATGAACCGTAAGCAGGTGGCAGAGCTGTAGGACAGTTAGTGGAGGGAGACAGAGGTGAGGAGAACAGGCAGCAGACTGTGCTGATCCACATGCATAAAGATGAGAAAGCCTGCCTCAATCCCTAAACTAGTTTAGTTTTACGATGTTTTCACTGCTGTGGACAATGAATTTAAATATTTAAAATGACATACTGCGCCCTGTATTAATCCAATAGGGACAGAGTGTGTGCACTGTATTGATCCAATATAGGAAAACAGCAAAGAGTGTTTCCTTTAGCAATACATACGGTCCCTTGTTAAGGGATGGGGCAACTGCGCCTTTTATACCAGATGAAATGTGCGCTGTTCCACTGTCGCAACCTTACTCAGGTACGTTTCGCTTGCTTCTGCTGTACAACCTCTGGCCATGTAGCCAATGTGTAATTGGTTTGAAGTCGGATATTCAACAGACATTGGGCTCAAAAGGCTTCCACGTAACCGAACGCTGTCTGAGTAGGACAACAAGACCCCGCACATGAGCGTAATAAGTTAGGGACCATCAGTACTATCTGTGCCCTCTGTGGGACATGCGAGAACAGATTTTGAACCAATGTGACTCGGAAACGACTGATGTTTAAATTTTCTATTTTGTAGTTTTTCTGTTGGACAATAATTTACAGATGGTCCCTAACTTAGTACATTCATGTGCAAGGTAGATGAGGTCCTGTTGTCCTATTCAGACAGCAAACAATGGACAGCGTTCGATTGTGTGGGGGGCTTTTGAGCCGAAATATCTGTCAAATATCCAACTTCAAACCAATTTCACCTCAAGGGTCCAGTTGCCTAGTGTTATCTCTTAGACTTCAACGTTTGGTTTTGCTGTGGCTGCAGCTATTTTCAGTGCAACTGGCAGCACCGAAAGTGAAACTCATTGGTGTGTCTTTCTTGTTCCACTCATTAATTTACTCTACAGGTTTTATGTGAATCCTGTGGAGTATGTCGCCAGATCGATGACTTTAGTCTTTGGCACTGAAAAATAAAGCTTGGCAGTGAAAACTAAACTCTAACTGAAAAAGCAAACAAAAAACAAACATTGGCATTGAAGCATTTCTACTACAAAAAACAAAACAAAAAAAAACCCCACTGGCATTTAAAAAAAGTATTAATACTGGAAAAATGACAATCTTATAATTTTTTGTCTATATCTTTGGTTTTTTCAATGCCAAGTTTTTATTCTTTCAGTTTCGCTTCTCTTTCATTGTTTTGGCACGGAGGGGATGGCTTTGAGAGGCGGGGCTAAGGAAAGTGTGATTTGCATAGTCTGCTTGAGATCCATGAGGAGAGGACAGCCCTCTCCCCCAAGCCACTGTTCGAGGCTGCCATAGTGGACTAGGACAGAATGTGTGTGCCTGAAGTCTGCTGGGACGCTGCTCGGACTGTTTTGAGTGTAGCATTTAAAACCACATTTAAATGGCAGTTTAAAATCGCAGGTTTTGCAATTTGAAAATTGCGTTTTGTTAAATAGCGATTTTGATTTGAAAACTATCGTTCAGCCCTACTCGACATGTTTGGTTTGGTCTGTGTGTGTGTGTTTTTGTAGCCTAAGCAGAGGAGAGAAAAGAGGGCCAGCATATCAGAGGATAAATGATATTTTCAAGGATTCTTGCAAGTTAACCAGGTGCTTTTTTGAAAGCTTCAAGAAATCACATCTCACCAGTCATAACTCATTCAATGCTGATAGACACCCACCCCATCCAAATACATATAGACTTCCCATACAATAAACGTCCACCAGTCCTATCGTCTCTCATATAAACTCATAGTGATGCACAAAAAACCCAATGAAGCCAAGAACGAATGCTGCCACCCATTCCATAAATCAAGGTGACACAAATAGAAAACAGCACTTACTGGAAGAAAAATCTTAGTTTGATGTTTGCCTGTGGAGTTAGTCTTTCTCAGCCTCTTGACAAACAATCTGTCTTGATTGAAAGATCCCCTATGTTCAAAGATCTGTTCATGTTGCTTGCACTGATACCAGGCACACTATCACTGATGTTATTGTCAGCTAGCTCCATCACAACTTCACAAGATGCAAAAACACCAAACCTTCCCCTTTGAGCACTATCTCCCTGTCCCACTTCTCCCAGATTTTGGTTCGTCTCCATTTCCTCACACCCTATGAGCAATGATCTGCTTTACATAAAAGTAAGCAACACTCACAAATCCATAGTCCTTGCTGAGGATACCGACACCAGAGGGTACATATGGACAGACAGCACCTAACAATCTAGAGCGGCAGGGCAGCAGTCAGGCAAATGGATTACGATTTATTACCAGTGAGAGAGGCAGCACTGAGGAGAATGCAGAAACAGGACATGTCTCCTCCTGATTTCACTAGGGTGAGCTTGGATGGATCGTAACAAGGACAGAGGAAAAAAAATCTGTCAAAATTTATACAGCATACACATGTGAACAGCAAATGGGAATATTTGCTTGTGTACAAATAGATGTTGACTTGGCACACAACGCCCAGAATCCACTAT